AATTTTTTACGAATAATTTGATACCACACACTTGGTACTTGGAGTCAAATTGTCGTTATGAACCGCATGTTCCAATTTCAACCATATTTTTCATTCAAACCATATGCGAAAATGTCAAAAGTTGACCTGTGATGTCATATGTCATTCTATTCAGAGTGTCATTTTCTACCGAATAAAGTAAAAAAATACCGAGGGTGCGATTTAAAAATCAAAAGTTGCAGTCATTTCCGGTGAAACCGGAAGTGACCGAAAACAATTGAATATGTCAATCAATCCTAATTTATGTCATATACTAACATACCAAATCTCGTTGTTTTATTTAAAAAAATAAAAAAGTTATAGGGATGATCCACTTTTGAGACGCACCCGGTATATTTATCCGTTGCGTATCTGAGAGACAAAATTTTACGACCTACATCGACAATGCTTCGAACTTCGAAATAAACTAAATCAGGCGATCAAGCGAATCGCTCGCCGCTTACTACTTGCCGTTCATTACCGAAAAATCTGTGCCCTGCGCACGCAGCTTACTGCTTGGCGTTAACGAGTACTTACAACATGCGACGGACAAAAACCGTATTATTAAATACGAGCGATATTTTGCTCGAGTGATCACTCGGTTATTGCAATCGCTTGATACTCGAGTACTCGATTATTGAAATTAATCGGTTTTTCCCATCACTAAAAAAATCTATCTGTTAAACGAAACGCGCGTCCAGTGCAAAAGTAAAGTCTTTTGGTGTATTCTGGTGAATTAGTGTTTTATTTTGATGTTGTAACACCAAAGATACAACCCCCAACTGTAAAGGTGCGTATTCATTATCCGAACGAACGAACGAACGAATGAAAGTGCGGTATATTTAGACGGGGACCGAACGCATGCGGCCGTTCGTTCGTTCGTTCGCTCGACCATCCGTTTCGAGTCGGTACATCAAAGGCGTTCGCCAACAAATGCCTCGTGCGGTTCTATCGTACGGTCCCCGTCCATACCACTAGCAAACGTTCGTTCGTTCGTTCGGATAATGAATACGCACCTTAATCTGTAATCATCGCTTGAAATTCGCTTCCTTGAGGTACACATGGCTACTATTTTATCAAAAAGTATAAAATTGGTCTTGCATGCCCTAACATCTAAGGTGCGTATTCATTACCCGCACGAACGAACGAACGAACGAACGAATGTTCGCTAGTGGTATGGACGGGGACCGTACGATAGAACCGCACGAGAAAACCGGAGGCATTTGTTGGCGAACGCCTTTGATGTACCGACTCGAAACGGATGGTCGAGCGAACGAACGAACGAACGGCCGCATGCGTTCGGTCCATAGAAATAGAAGGGATAGAGAATGAGCGTCAACATGCGCAAAAGGTCTAATCAAGTTGGGCGCCATATTCCAGGTCTTCGTGTCATTTTGTATATAGGTGGTAATCTATAAGTAATCAAATATCAATTTGCTGTTTTCAACCATACGGGGGGCAATTTAAATTTAGTGAAATTCTATCATTTATTATGGTTAGTTAACATTAATATGATTTATTTAATTATCAGTTTCAAAACTGCGTACAATATTGGTATATAATACACTAAATATACGAATATTCTGACAAAAGACGCTACGGACAGATGACCTTTTCGTCGTAAAACACTCGAAATGATATTAAATAAGTATTTACAATATTTCATGTTTACTTGTACTGAATTACGCGTTTCAATTTAAAATTTTTGCAAATTTGGTAAAAATTGTTCTAAACAACTTTTTGTTCAAGTTGTATATTCATAAAAAACATTTGGTTCATAATTATTTTTGATGATTATCTACCTTGTATTTTTAATATAAACCTAGAAAAAATATGTTTTTGTTTTATTTTTTTTATTCGTCCCTTCAAATTATGTTTCAAAAACTGTTACATAACATGTCCTCTAACAAATATTTTCATAATACATAAACATCATTGATTTTATTAAGGGTATTATTATTAGTATTTATCCTGGTTTTTGTCGACAATAAAAACTCAATCTTGTAATAGAACATCAATTTTATATTTCGTAAAATTATTTTGATACAAATTCGATTTGTCAAAATTCAAGTCATTAATATATTGATAAACAACCCAAATTATTCCTAAATATTTTATTATAAACAAAAACTGTTACCGGTAAGTTTGTAAAACACATTATGGTTTGTCGTAATACTAGAAAAAATCATTTATTTTTTGCACAAAAGAAGCTTGTCGATCCTTATTTGTCCATAACAAAATTCTGTATGTACATATACCTAATTTATTATTAAGAAAATTAGATTATATGATCTCAGAATTTTAAGAAATTTTTTTTTAAGATAAAATAGTTTCTTCTCAACTGTAATATTGTCAACTTTGGCCTGTATTTTATCTATTTAAAAACATGGGATTGACAATCCCCTTACTAAAATACATACTGGAAGGTACCGATTAAGTTTCATTGCATCAAATACCTTTGCTATAAATCCTGGCTCACAATTTAAAGCCATTGCAAAATGCTTTTGAACTTCATCATAGATTTTACAAGAATAAAAGTGTAATATTGAAACAAAGTAACATTGTAAGCTTCATGACTAATAATCTCATTTTTAACACTCTTTAAATATCATCTCGTTAACAATTATGAATATTATATGATTTTTCTCAGTGATTTGTGGCAGAGATACAAATTAATATATGCCCCATAACAGTTTTTAAATAAGAAACTTCTGCCTACAGATTTAATTTTCTTATTGGCATAATACCCTTTCTTTCTATATAAATCTTGCCATTTTTCCAGTCCAATGTTCCTTGTTTTTACAGTTGTAGGAATACTAAAAATGTTGACTATAGAACTCGATACTATGTTTGAAAAAGCCTTCATACCTGTAACTGTGCATAAATCTAATTAACTGAATTCTCCTCCTCTTGACACTCTGAACACAGCCGCTGCTAATGTTAGAAATATTTAGCACAAAACTACAACTACCTACAACAAACTTTACAATAAAAATGTTAAATTTTCGCTGTTCGATTAAAATACCCTATCTTATGTTTTCTTTTCCTCCAAATAATCTTCTTGTCAAGTAAGGACCAATCTTATTTGATATATTTCTGGTCACTTGAACTTGTGCTTTCATGGACACTATAAGAGTGCACTGTTTTACAGAACCACGAACATTGATTCCAAGTATCTTCTTCCTCCACACGTAATAAAAACATCCTCTTTAAATGGCCACATCATACACTTATTTTTGACCATTCCCAATTACAATCACGATTTTTACAAATCGCCTTTAGGAAAGTTAAAAATAAACAGTTTTGAATCATCTGTAAACACGATTATGTTGTATAAACTTACACATGAAAACTAATCATTATTCCCGGCGTATTAGCTTTCTAGAATGACTATGAATATACAACAGGCCTTTTTGAATTAGTGTTTAGAATAATTGAGATAATAATAAATTTTAACTAGATAACAACACAAACGAAAAAAAAACAAAACAAACAGATGTCAATTAAAGAGGGGAAGTGACAGCGAGACCTGGAAGATGTCTGCCATCTTGCCGTCGACAAAAATTTGGATGCGCACTCGTCGAAGCTCATTCTCCCACTTCCATATCTCTGGTTCGGTCCCCGTCTAAATATACCGCACTTTCATTCGTTCGTTCGTTCGTTCGTTCGGATAATGAATACGCACCTTAACATTATCGTTACACCCGACTAAATCTACCCAATCTTTAGACCTAATTGAACACTTTGGACAGTGTATAGCCCGTTTTAACTTTAACCAATATATTTGTTAACCTCCACCTGAAATAAATAAATTACTATCTTCAACAAAATTTGTTAAATATCTGTAAACATTATTGTTTACAGATCATTCAGATTCATTAACGTATACTAAAAATAACATTAACTAAAGGTCAAAAAAGTTATATTTTTTAATATGTTTTATTATTTTATTTCTTATTTATTGTAATTACACTGTATGTATGAAATAAATTAAGTGATAGTAAGATACATTCTATGGCTTTGGCCACACTGAAGAGCGGGCGGGCGTGCAGCGAGCGGCTAGCGAGCGAGCGATAATCTGTTCGGCGACTTTGTGGACATACCGAAGAGCGATTAGTTTGTCTTGTTTCATTGTTAGTATAGGTTGTGCAAAAATGTCGTTATGCAGGGTGAAATGAAATATATTTTTCAAAAAATCTCGAAAGTATGGAACGCATCCTATTAATCGAAGTAGACAAACATTTGGAGAATTTCATCACCTGTATTTTGAGTTAAGAGATTTTCCTGACAGATTCTTTGAATATCTACGTATGTCTAGAAATACGTTTGATTTTTTACTTAGCAAGATTAAAAACAGAATTACGAAAAGAAAAACAAATTATCGTACGCCTATATCAGCCGAGGAAAGGCTAGTGGTAACTTTAAGGTAAGAACCATATTTACTCTTTAGGTTTGCAAAGTATATTTCATATTATAAAATTATAAGAAAATACATTCTATTCTTTACAACTTCCGATATGTTGTGTATACACCATTAACAACCCTATGTTCTATCTGCTGTAATTCACCAACATTTTGTTCCCCTTGCTGTACATCATCAATATTCTGATCCACTAATTGCTTCTTTTTTTCATTTTTATAATTAGTGATGATATCTCAGATTTTATTTCCAGTTTTTCTAAATCTGTGAAATCAGCTACATGAGGTACTAAACTTTTAAAAAACAGCAAATCCGCATTTTCTTCTTTGCAGTCTTGTTCTAAAAGCTGAACTTTCCTATTTTCCAGTTCCAAAAACTTGTCCTGGACATCTGGTTTGGTTCTCTTTTGTCGATTAAAACTTGAGCCACTTACTGCTGCTCTGTGGGATGGCCCTGAAGAATGTGAGTTTTGAGGAGACATATTATTATAATCATCCTCCTGTCCATTTTCGGATTCACTTGAATCTCCCGTTTCCATCGTGAAGTCCCTTGCGTTTGCGAATTAGTTTCCATTGGTAAATTTCCCTTGCGTCTGCAAAGGAACGACAAAATCTCTTAAGAAGTACATCTGGTCAAAATACTGCCATTTGGGTTTCCCAGGTAGTGAGGGATCTCCAGATTTCGGAACTGGTATTTTTTTAACCTCCTTTCTAAACTGATCCTTCAATTTCTTCCATTTGAGTTTTGCATCGGAAACTGAAAATAAAATCATTGGAATACTAAAAAATGCAACTAATACAAAATAATATGCACAAATGAAAACTTATTTTTGTTTTAGGTATTTGGCAACTGGCGCTTCATTTAGATCTTTGGCGTTTTCCTTCAGAATGGGAAAATCTACAATTAGCAAAATAGTTTTTGAGACTTGTGCAGTTATATGGGAAGAGCTTGTTGACGAATTTATGCCAGTTCCTACTGTAATACATTTAAAAAAAGTTATAGGTGACTATTATAATCGGTGGAAATTTCCAAATTGCTTCGGTTCTATAGATGGAAAATACTGTCAGATTAAATGTCCAACGAATTCTGGGTCACATTATTTTAACTATTTGCACTACTTTTCTGTGGTTTTACAAGCTGTTGCTGACGCAGATAAAAAAAATTTTGACGATAGAAGTTGGAGGGTGAGGTAAACAGAGTGACGGTGGGACTTTTGCAGGATCAACACTATTTAATTTTTTGGAAAGTAATATGTTCAATGTGCCTCAGTCAGCCAACCTACCAAATACAAATATTAAACTACCAAACTTCTTAATAGGAGATGAAGCATATCCTCTGAAGACATATTTAATGAGGCCTTATCCAAAAAGAGCTCTTAATCCTCAGAAAGAACACTTTAATAAATATCTCTCTAGTGCTCGGAAATGTATAGAATGCGCATTTGGAATAATGTGTGCCAAGTGGCGTTTTCTAAATAAAGATATAGAGACACTGCCTGACAAAGCTTGCATACTTATCAAGTGCGCCTGTATATTACATAACTTAATAAGGGAAAAAGATGGCGACAGTGATCTTCATTATTGTCAAGTAATGCAACAGATGTCATTACGATTAGACTGTACTGATCGACCTGCTTCTGGTGGCAGAGCGCATAATAGAGGAAGTACAACAACAATTCAAATTCGTGAAGAACTTGCAAATTACTTATTTCAATTGCCTCGATAATTATTGTAATGTAATTCATATTTATATTTCACTATATCGAACAAATTAATGTGTGTATGTATAATGTAAATAATAAAAAATCCTAATTTCTATTGCTATTAATTGTTATATTTATAATTATTTTTCAATACTTACCACTACAATTACATGCCGCAGCAACCTCTTGCCATATTTTTTCAATAGCATTTTTGTTTTTATAAAGTGGATGACTATCTTGCCACAAAGGTCTCCGTGTTTGCACTTCGGATATAAGAAGTTCTTTATTTACGTTTTTGCCACTGCTACACATTTTGTCACGCTTTATTCTCAATTATATTTATCATACTGACAACAAAAATAATAATAAAAACAAGTTTCTACATATCATAAATATTTACTTCGGCCGTATTCGTCACAATTCGGTGTCCCTTCACAAAATTCGCACGCTCGAAATTCAAACAGATTTGTTTTTTAATAATTCGCTCGCTGCACACTTGAATATCGCCCGCCCGCAAAAGTTCAGTGTGGTGGTCACTTGTATTGTAGCCCAGTGTTTAGAAAAATCGCTTGCTCGCTGGACGCCCGCCCGCTCTTCAGTGTAGCCAAAGCCTATGACTAGCAAAATTGGGAGCAGTTTAAATTAGAATATTAAATAATAATAAACAAACATGCTTGTACGTAAACAATTTATTGAACTTACATACACGCGCCAATACGGGTGTTGTTGATAAAGATAAATTTACTATAACGATGAAAATATTTACCAGTAGTTATTGTTAACAGGAAAATAAAACTTTTCCACTGCGAAAACATTTTGACTGGGGCCAAAAAACTGCATTGTCCGCAAAACTTGCGGGCTGGGATCAAAGTCTTAATTTTGAATAGAGAAACGTAGTTATAATACACATGTCTTGCTTTTTTTCATTAATAAATTTTAAATATTTCTAAGAATAATAGTGATTAAAGTAAACGCATACTCAGCAACATATGGATGCAATTTTCGAGGTTGTAATCAAATTTAAATTTAAGAGAAGGAACGTCATCACAAGTCTCGGTTGTATGCCATAATAGATTTAAAAATAAATATACTCTACCGTTTTATTCATAAACAATTGCGGTTTTTAAATAGGTGCGATATGAAAATATAATACCTATATAGACTGTTTTCACTACAAGGAAAGGAGAATTTCAACATCGCGCCATATTTCCGGAATTATGGTCTTGAAATGTATATAATTAATTTCAAATATACAGTATGTTCCAGGACTGTCTTTACAAGAGGAAAACTTTGTTATTATTAACTTTTTGGGAAACATTCATTTTTGATTAAAATTTTTACTTGTTCTAAAATGGTTAATCCCGTTTATACTTTTCTAGTTTCTATACCGTTTAAGAGAAAATTAAAAAATCATAAAAATGGAGTTGAATTTTCTCTCCTAAAAATCAAGAGGCTACAGGGTGTCCCAGAAATAAGTGCAAGTATTTTAAGGCGTGGTAGATCTCGATAAAAGTAAGTAAAATATTTTCTCTTTATCGTTTTGCAAATAAGTCCACAATAACGGAGATATTTTGCTTTGAAAATTTGAAAAAACAAAAATATTTTTTACTAAAATTTTGAGAACCACTGGATCTTTTCTGGATTTTCTTTCTTGTAAATTTAATCTACTACCTATGTTACCATATTATCAAAAAATTATGTTTTTTAACTAAAAACTAAAAATATTTCTAAAAATTTTTGCAAAATATTCCGAATTTACAATTATTTTTTTTTCGTGAAAAAAACCTCATAGGCGTGTTTCTGGGGTTGAATTCTATTACCAGTTAAAATACTTGCACTCATTTCTGGGACACCCTGTATATTAATATCATTTCGATTTAATTCTTTGATGGATAATAGATTGTTATTGATAGAATTTTAATTAAAGTCATATTTTTTGCTATTTTAAAATTTTAAAGAAGCACAAAATTTATTTAGTTCAATGCTACAGAAAGGGTGACAATAGTTATATCGGAAAATATGATACTTTAACAACAGAAAAAAATATGACTTTAATATTAATAAGAACCAACTATGAAAGAATGAAATAGAAATGATATTACCATAGAAAATTTGTTTCTTGAGATGGTACCAATTTTACTTTGGCTTTCGGGCTTTTACAGATGCGCAGGATCATCTAGCTCATTTGCATAGTAAAGTAATGCCTAGCTCTACCTATAGTCTAGTTGCAAACAGCTGTGCCCCTATTGGTAAGATGGTAAGGCGGTCGTACGCAGATATGCAGGGTGACCCACTAAGAATAGCTCTCGGCTGTATCTCAGAAAGTATTAGCCGTAGGGCCCGCGGAAAAAAATATTTATAACTAAAGAGGCTATGAGAAATTGCTGGAAATTATTTTTAAGTTTGTAGAATGACCGCTAGGGGGCGCAACTGCAACAAAAAATAAGAAAATGGAGTTTTTACACAATTTTGCCTAGATAAGGTGTACTATAAGTAATAGATTCATAATCTTCTATCTAATTTTTTGTTAGAACTATTTTCCTCTATCTACCAAAATAAAGCGGTAGGGGGAGGTTAGATCTGTTTTTATTTAAATATTAATATCTCCGGACTGGATGATCGGAATCCAACAAACGAGGGCTCGTTTAAAAGAGCGTTTCTTACTCTATATTATACCATATAAACAATAATAATAAGCGTTTGAACGTAGACGATAGGGGGCGTTGTCTTACAATTTAACAAAAACTGCGTATTTTTTCAAAAAAATTAAATGCGATAGTATACGTAATTTTAGCTGATAGTAAAGAGTAATAAAAGCTTAACAAGTCAGCGAAATCCGCATCTTGATATCTTTTTTCAACCCAAAGTTATTAACAAAATTATAATAAATACGAAAATATAAGCCCTTAATTACCTTATTTTGCCTAACACGGTATTACTAGCCCTCTTGATTATCAACATTCTGACAAAAAATAAGATAGAAATGATTAGATTATTCTAAAATCGACAATATACCAGAATACCATAACGCCAGATTTATTAATCTATACTAATATATAAAATCCTTAAGTGACTGACATACTGATTAATCACGATCCTGCTCAAACCACTCAACGTAAGAAGCTCAATTTTGGCATACAGGTTGATTCTAGGGTGTAGAGGTTCGATAAGAAGGGATATTTCGAAATTCCAGTTCCAAGAGGGTGAAACCACCCCTCAAATATTACAATATTTTTTATTTAAAAAACGGTCAAGTTTCCGAAAAAACGCTTAAACAACGTATATTTTATTTTGTTTTTTTACATATTTTAAGATTTTTTAAAAATGTATACAGGGTGTTTCGAAAAATCTAGTCATTGATTAATCACGATCCTGCTTAAAGCGCTTGACGTAAAAAGCTGATTTTTGGAAAACAGATTTTTACCTAAGGTCTTAGGGTGTAGAGGTTCGATAAGAAGGGGTTTTTCGAAACTCGAATTTTAAGGGGGTGAAACTATCCCTCAAATATTAAAATATTTTTTATTTAAAAACCGGTGAGTTTTTCGGAAAAACTCTTAAACACGTATATTTTATTTTGTTGTTTTACATATTTTAAGATTTTTTATAAATTTATACATAAATGTGTTTCATAAAATATGACCATTGAGTAATCACGATTCTGCTTAAACTGCTTGACGTTTAAAGCTGATTTTTGGCAAACGGATTGACTGTGGGATGTAGAGGTTCAATAAGGGGGGGTTTCTCGAATCTCAAATTCCAAAAGGATGAAAACGCCCCTCAAATATTACAATATTTGTTATTTAAAAAACGGTTAGTCTTTCGGGAAAACGCTTGGACAAGCATAATTTATTTGTTTTTTTACATATTTTGAATTTTTTTAAAAAAATCATACAGGGTGTTCCAAAAAGTAGGGTAATTTCTTAACCACGATTCTGCTTAAACTGCTTGACGTAAAAAGCTCATTTTTGGCAAACGGATTTTTCGAAAGTCAAATTCCAACGAGATGAAACTACCCCTCAAATATTACCAAGTTATATAATAATATCGCCATATTGTTTTTTCTCGTGCTGACATAAATAATGTGAGAAAATTTTATCCAGTTTGTATGTTAATGGAAATTCTTGCTTTGCTTTATCATCACCATTACAAATGATTAATTCGACGCGAACGAAGTCGCTGGTACACGCTAGTATCTAATAATTAACATATCAGTGACAGTTAATAAGAAACGACGCCTCAATGAAGTCATGGTAGGCTTTGGAAAAAAGTTGCTTTTGACGTAATAGTATAAACGTCAAAGTGTTATTAGATCAACATTTCGATAGTCTTAGCAGCGTTTTTTCTCTGTTGAAGAAAGGCATTTTTAGAAAAGCAATCAAAAGGTAAAAAAGGCTGCTGAGACTATCAAAATGTTGATATAATAATATTTTGATGTTTAAACTATCCGTTTAAAAGCAACTTTTTTCCAAAGCCTACCATGAATTCACTGAGGTGTCGTTTCTTGTCCACCGTCATTGGTATCTTAGTTATTAGATATTAATACACCTAGTATTATGGTTTTCTGGTTAATTGACGATATTTTGAATAAAATAATATTTTGTATGTTATTTTTTATTAGGGTGGTCATAATCAAGAGGGCTAGTAATATCGTGTTAGAAAAATAGGGTAATTAAGGGCTTATATTTTCGTATTTATTATAATTTTGCTAATAACTTTGGTTTGAAAAGAGATATCAAGATGCGGTTTTCGCTAACTTGTTAAGCTTTTATTACTCTTTACCATCAGCTAAAATTACATATAAAAACTACTATAGTATTTATTTTTTTTTTGAAAAAACGCGCATTGTTTGTTAAATTATAAAACAACGCCCCCTAGCGTCTACGTTCAAAAGCTTATTATTATTGTTTATATGGTACAATATAGAGTAAGAAACGCTCTTTTAAACGAGCCCTCGCTTGATAATTTCCGATCATCCAGTCCGAAGTTATTAATAGTTAAATAAAAACAGATCTAACCTCCCCCCACCACTTTATTTTTGCAGATAGGGGAAAATGGTTCTAACAAAAAAGATCCAAAATTTATTGAATATTATGAAGCTATTATTTATAGTATATCGTATATAGGCAAAATTTCTTAAAAATTCCATTTTGTTATTTTCAATAGCAGTTAAGCCCTCTAGCGGCCGTCCTACAAACTTGAAAATAATTTCCAGCCATTTCTCATGGTCTCATTAGTTATAAATATTTTTTTCCGCAAGCTCTACGACTAAAGATTGTCGCCCACTAGACCGCGGCTCGACGCGGCGCGGCGCCATGTGGAAATTTCTTTTGTCTGCTTGCCATGTATTTAAATAGACCAACGCACATTAGAGCGCGCAGCGCAGAAGCGCGTCGCGGGATTTCCGTCAAGAAGTCGGAAGACTTCTCTAGCATTTTTTTTCCGTCTCCTGCGTTTTGACGCGTTGCAGTGTGCGTACTCACAAGGGAAATCATTTTGCATTCGAGTCTTTTCAGTTGGCTTTTTGACTAGGAACTAGTGATACGTATCACTGATAGAATTGTATTTTTAAAGGTAAATTAGG